TGAGTCTCATCAAATTGGTGGTTTTAATCATAGCTCCGACTAGATGGCCCCTTGGATTAGGGTAGGGATTCGTACCAAGAGATTGCTGGAATCTCCAAAGATCAACAATGGCACTAGTGTAAGCCTTTACAGACGGTAGTCCGAGAGTTTGTACAACGGCTGCGCCCTGGCTATCCGTACGATTTCTCAAGTATCGCGATGGCCGAATCGGACGGTTAATGACATAGTGATCCAGAAAATAGACCAGCTTCTTTTCGGTAACCACCTGGCCGTCAGGAAAGCCTTCTTTTGTGCAGAAATCAATGAATTCTTTCTGCCTGGAATCGTACTGCCTGGTGGTTGCTGCCGGCCGGTTTTTCTGAATCCGGTGCGCTACTTTTTGACTGTGCAGCTGTATCTTTGCGTGTAGCTCCAACTGGCGGTCTTGCTCGGCCAACAAGCCATTAGAAATAGACTCCATATTCACGTAAGGGAGCTGAAAATCAATTTAAATAGGAGTGGTATGAGTAATAAGGGCAACAATATAGGTGATTGTACGTGCAAATCCTGGGAAGTCCGGAAACCAGGTTACTCGGACGCGTACCGATTATCTCATTGACCTCGCGTGGAAACTGACCGCCTCCCTGACCGCCTGCCTGTCTAAATATGCCGTTGGTATGGTCTTGTACGAGAACTAGTCCGAACGGCTACAGATGTAAATTTCTGGTAATATTTCTCAGCTAGGGGTGACCCCCATATAACCGAGGTATATGGGGGTCACATTGCGCCAAGACCGCATGCTATCCGCGTTATCTGGCTAGCCGCGAAATGTCGCGGGATTACTTGAGGTTTGCTACCTGAATATACGCTAGCCCAGACTAGGTTAAATGCACACAAGCAACAAGCCCCTGAAGGCCAACCGCGGAAAGTACCAGTGGAGCCTCCCGCCCCATTTGATGTGTTGTCCGAGGATGTGATTGGCTGTAATACCCCCGAGTCCCGTGATGCGGCAAGAGACACGCCTGCCGCGTCCTCCTCAAAACAGCGACAGGAAAATAAATGTTAGCTGGAGAGTTCATTCCATTTCAACAATAATCACACCTAGAACGGCGGACTGTTCTCGTGCCCAACTCGTCATCCATTACACTCCTTTTGTTTGGATTCTACAGTTCTCCTTTCTCGTACATAATCATAATAATAATTATTTGACTTTCATACTACCGACTTGATTGCGACAGTTAGGACACACAACTATTTGCCTTCAAACCTTCAAACCTTCAAACCTTCGTGCCCGATATCGCCGACGTCGACGCCTCGTGCGTACCAAACCAAGTGAAAGCAAGCACGCGATATATCGATCGATGGTCTTCACGCATTATTGATTTTGGATATCCGTCAAAATGGAGGTTGCTGCTCCAGGGGTCCCTACAAACGGCCTCGCCGCAGCAACAACACCAGTGGCAGTAGCAGATCCAAATGTGGTCGTACGGTATCTCACAGATGTCCTCCAGGTAACTCTGGGGGCCAGCAAGAGAGATCTTGAGGCCCCGGGCAGTCTACTCTCGAAAGCGAAGTATTCAGAGACTGTGCAGAAATGTACGCGATTCGCTTCAGAGTCGCAGGTGGCGCTGTATGTTCAGCAAGATATCTTTAGTGCGGAGGAACCTAATGGAACGGAGAATGATGACGGTAGGTTGTCACATGATTTAACTATGAACAAATACCCCTTTTCTGGGACTATACGTCTAACTGCTTGCAGCGGCAGAAACTCGGTATACATACACTTTGGCCGCGGAGGTATCCTTTCTCTCGACTACCGTCGCTTCTGTAGCTTTCATCAAACGTCCAGGTCCGATCGATCCCAGCCAACCCCTTGCTACTCAAATCCAGGTTACAAACTTTCCGGGTCTGTCAACCCTGAGCAATGCACAAGCCCAACAGGGTGCTTCGATTTCTGCATTTGAAATTCTACATTCGCTCGTGCACCATACCCTCGGTCCTTATTTCGAAGCCTATACACGAAGTCAAGAAGCTGCAAACGGCATCAAGCAGAGGACAGAGACGGAAGCAAAGACTGGTGTTCCCGGAGCCAAGAAGCGCATTGCAGAATTGGACCTTGCGTTTTTGCATCTTCAGCAGAATGTGGAGATCCCGACGTTGAACCTACCTCTTCACGAAATCGTTCAAGCTGCCCTGGATGAGGCTGAAGCGCACGGCGTAAAACCATCAGTTGATCTGATCCCACCCGCCGCCCTTGAGAATAGTACCGTTTTGAACAGCATTCAGAACAATGTCAATGGTTGGATTAAGTCCATTCAGACCATTACAAAGATGTCTCGAGACGCGGATAGTGGTTCCGCCAACCAAGAAATCAACTTCTGGCTATCCATGGAAACCGCCTTGGAAGGAATCGAGAAACAATTACGCGGAGATGGAGTGCAACTTACCATGGAAATTCTCCGTCATGCGAAGCGTTATCAGGCGACTTTAAGTTTTGTGGCAGATACTGGTCTCCGTGAAGCGATGGACACGGTCCAGAAATACAACCAGTTGATGCGTGATTTTCCCCTCGACGAACTGTTATCCGCGACAACACTGCAGAAAGTGCAGGAATCACTTGGCTTGATTTTCAATCATTTGAATAGGAAGCTTAAAATATCGCCCTACCCGATCAAGAGAGCATTGGCATTAGTAGAAGCTATTTCAGGCGACTTGGATTCCCAGATACATGCTCTACTGCATGGACGAACAATCATGCATCTTGACTACCGAGAGTTCCGCTCACTGATGAAGACTTGCAGCGCCATATGGCGTACCTGGGATGAGAACGTTAAGGAGTTCACCAATGTTGGGCGTGAAGCTTCTCGCCGACGAAATGAGAAGTTCATCCCGATTAAGATTGTCCCCCGCCACATGAAGACGCAAGAGCGCTTGAAATATATCAATACTTTCCGTGTAAACCATGAACAGCTGCAACGGACAATCGTCAATGTGCTTGGTCCCAAATCTGCGGTTAATGCAAATGGTACGGATGGTGCGATTATTGTAGAAGAGATTGGTGACGTCGATGCTGTGGAGGAGGTCGCTCAAGCATACGCTGCTTTGAAAGATGTGGATGTCCTCGATGTCTCCGAAGCAGGCACACAGCAGTGGATTCAAGCTGAAATCACGTACAACGAACGGACGTCGCGTGTTGAGAATTCTATTATTGCTCGCCTACGAGACCGTCTCGCAACTGCGAAGAATGCCAATGAAATGTTCCGCGTATTTTCGAAATTCAACGCCCTCCTTGTGCGACCCAAGATTCGTGGTGCTATTGGCGAATACCAAACCACGCTCATTGATAACGTAAAACGGGACATCAATGCTTTACATGAACGTTTCAAGCAACAGTATGGCCATTCGGAAGCGCACGCCATGGCTCAGTTGCGTGACCTAGCGCCTGTTTCTGGCGCCATCATCTGGGCTCGGCAGATTGAACGTCAGCTCGACGGCTACATGCGAAAAGTCGAAGACGTGCTTGGTGAGGACTGGCATCTGCATTCCGAGGGTCAGAAACTTCAAGCCGAGAGCAACTTGTTCCGGAAGAAACTCGACACAAAACCAGTTTTTGATTCTTGGCTTCAGGACGTCCAGAAACGACACATTACCATTTCTGGTCGCTTGTTCAACATCATCCGAAATAGGGCTGCTGGCAACTCCTTGGAACTGACAGTCAATTTTGATGCCCAGATCATTGCCCTTTTCAAGGAAGTGAGGATGCTGATGTACCTCCATTTTCAAGTTCCCCATGCAGTCAGCAGCATTTCCAAGGAAGCCAAGCGTGTTTACCCCTATGCTATCAGTCTCATGGAAACAGTTCGTACACTGTTGCAGACGACCCGGACCATCGCTTCAATGACTGAGGTCGCAATCTTGCTGAGCGGCTACCAGAATGATGCGCAGGCTATGATCACAAAAGGCATTCCTCTACGTTGGGAGTCCTTTGTTCACTCATACGAGCTTCATGTGAAACAGTCGACATTATCCAATGGTACTCTCGATCCCACCATGACTGGAAGGGGAGAGAGCAAGCACGTCCAATTTGTTCGCGAATTTGCCGTATCAGCCTCGGTTCTACAATCGAAAACCGATACTCTGGCTTCAATCAACGAGAGCATACAAAAGACCATACTGGAGCTCAAGACTTGTCCATACGATGCCGCAGTTTTCCGTCAGCGATTGGACTCAATTCAGATATCCGTTGATAAGTTGAACCTGGAGAATTACGTCAATCTTGGGCATTGGGTATCAAATCTGAACTTGAAGATTGAATCTATCCTGCGCGAACGGTTGCACCGAGCAATACGAACCTGGATTGTGTCGTTCAAGGAATCAAAAGACGAACAGTATACCAAACGACTTTCGCTCCAACCAGCCCATGAGAAGTCAGCAAATGATACACCTGAAGCCGAAATTTACCACATTGAATTCCCTGAACTTGTTCACGAGGTTTCAATGAGGAATCAAGTCTTGCACCTCGACCCTCCTCTTCAATATGCCCGAGCTAGCTGGCTTTCTCATTTCGGCCAGTGGCTAGGTGTTATTTGCAACCTGGAAAAGATCAAGTCATCCAGGTATCAAATTTCCATTGACGTGGAGAAAACACAGTTATCTGAAACTACGTTTGTGAACCTTCCCCAGCACTGCATTGAGGAGTTGGCCGAAGTCTATGGGGCTGTTGAATCTCGTCTTTCTGAAATTTCGGACTATGTGGACAAGTGGCTTCAGTTCCAATCTCTGTGGGACTTACAAGCTGAGCAGGTGTATGACATTTTGGGCGATGATTTGTCTCAGTGGCTTCAGCTACTTCAAGAGATCCGCAAAAGCCGTGCTACTTTTGACACCTCTGAAGTCAGCCGATCATTTGGTAACATCATAATCGACTACGAACAAGTCCAGACCAGAGTCAATGCCAAATACGATCAGTGGCAGCACGAAATACTGCAGAAATTTGGTTCTAAGCTTGGTGGCAACATGCGAGAGGTGCACTCCGAAATTGCTACCGCACGCCGAGATCTCGAAGGTCAGACTCTCGAAGCTTCTTCAACTGCACATGCTGTGTCCTTCATCACCATTGTTCAGCAATGCAAACGCAAGGCCAGGGTATGGGAACCACAAGTGGATCTGTTTAGACAAGGCCAGACCACTTTAGCACGCCAACGATATCAGTTTCCCACCGATTGGCTGCATGTAGAGAATGTCGATGGCGAGTGGGCTGCTCTCAATGAGCTTCTTAATAGAAAGAGCAAGATTGTGCACGATCAGACTGAAGCTTTGCGTGCTAAGATTACAGCAGAAGATAAGGTCATTGGCGACAAGATCAAAGAGATTATCGTGCAATGGAATGATGAAAAGCCCGTATCTGGTACCATTCCTCCAGAGGAAGCTTCTCGTACCCTCAGCTCCTTCCAGTCTCGCCTGGAAGGCCTTCAGTCAGAATTTGAGATGGTTTCGAAAGCCAAAGAAGCATTGGATCTACCAGCTAGTGCCGAATCCTCTTTACCTGCAATTTTGGAAGAGGTCCAAGATTTCATGTCGGTTTGGGCTGCTTTGTCGACCATTTGGAAGAGTCTGAACGATCTCCGAGATATGCTTTGGACTAGCGTCCAAACCAGGAAGCTTCGTGGATCGATCGACAACCTCATCAAGATGACAAAGGAAATGCCAAGCCGCATGCGCCAATATGCTGCTTTCGAGCATATTCAGAATGTTTTGCGCCAACATCTGAAGATCAACCCGTTGTTGTCTGACCTCAAATCTGAAGCGATCAAGGAGAGACATTGGCAGAAGATTTTCAAGGCCTTGAAGCCTGGTCAACGCTTTTCACAAGTCACCCTGACTCTAGGAGACGTTTGGGATTTGAAACCGGCAGCTAGTGAGACTGTGATACGGGATATCATCACTCAGGCTCAAGGTGAAATGGCCCTAGAAGAATTCTTGAAAATGGTTCGCGAAACTTGGCAGAATTATTCTCTCGATCTTGTCAACTACCAAAACAAGTGTCGGTTAATTCGTGGTTTCGATGACCTCTTTGCAAAGTGCAGTGAAAATCTCAACTCTCTGCAAGCAATGAGGCACTCTCCTTATTTCAAAGAATTCGAGGAAGAGGCCTCGACGTGGGAAGACAAATTGAACAGGGTCCATGTTTTGTTTGACGTCTGGATTGATGTTCAAAGACAGTGGGTCTACCTCGAAGGTGTTTTTACAGGAAATGCGGACATTAAACATCTCCTTCCCCTGGAATCAGCGCGTTTCCAGAATATCAACTCCGAATTCTTCGCCGTTATGAAGAAGGTCTACAAATCGCCATTCGTTCTCGATGTTCTTGCGATCAACGGTGTTCAAAAATCCCTGGAGAGACTTGCAGAGCTTCTCAACAAGATTCAAAAAGCTCTTGGTGAATACCTTGAACGTGAGCGTGTATCATTCCCTCGCTTCTACTTCGTTGGTGACGAAGATCTTCTCGAAATCATTGGTAATAGCAATGATACGCTACGGGTTGCCAAGCATTTCAAGAAGATGTTTGCCGGTCTTTCTGGCCTTTTGATGGATGATGACAACAATATCGTTGGCTTCACATCTAAGGAAGGTGAAGAGGTCAGACTCAAGCGCGAGGTCAACCTTATCAAGACGCCACGCATCAATGACTGGCTTTCGGCCTTGGACAATAATATGAAACTGACATTGGCTGAGTTACTCGCCGAGGCAGTCGAACAGTTTGAGACTATTTACCACACAAGCGAAGTTGACCAAACGGCTTTCAATGACTACCTCGCAAACTATCCCGCCCAGATTGTTGTACTTGCCAGCCAGGTTGTGTGGACGAATGCAGTCCAGAGGAGCTTGGAGAACGGTGGTGGTGATCTCTCCAGTCTTTTCGATGCTGAAGTGCGCATTCTAGAGTTACTTGCTGCTACCGTCCTTGGGGAACTTGATGGTATCACGAGAAAGAAATGCGAACATATGATCACCGAGTTTGTGCATCAACGTGATGTTATTGCCAAGCTCATGAAGTTCAATGCCTCGACACCTACCCACTACCTTTGGCTTCTACAGATGCGCTACGTGTACAAGAACGAAGGAGATTTTCTTCAGCGCCTCTATGTGCACATGGCCAACGCTAAGCTGGACTACGGTTTCGAATATTTGGGTGTTCCCGAGCGACTTGTCCGCACTCCATTGACAGATCGCTGTTTCCTTACCCTGACGCAAGCTCTTTGCCAAAGGCTGGGAGGTTCTCCTTATGGACCCGCTGGTACGGGTAAGACGGAGTCTGTCAAAGCTCTTGGTCTACAGCTTGGTAGATTTACCTTGGTCTTCTGTTGTGACGATACCTTTGACTTCCAGGCGATGGGTCGTATCTTTTTGGGTATCTGTCAAGTTGGTGCCTGGGGTTGTTTCGATGAGTTCAACCGTCTGGAGGAGCGTATTCTTTCTGCCGTTTCTCAGCAAATCCAAAATATTCAAATCGGATTGCGCAAGGGTACCGATGATGACAAGGCCCAAATCGAACTTATTGGCAGGCGTCTGCGTGTTAACCAGAATACTGGTATCTTCATTACGATGAATCCCGGATATGCTGGTCGTTCTAACCTTCCTGACAATTTGAAGAAGCTCTTTAGAAGTGTGGCAATGTCAAAACCAGACAAGGAACTCATTGCTGAAGTGATGCTCTTCTCTCAAGGTTTCAAGCAAGCCAAACCTTTGTCTAAACAAACCGTTCCTTTCTTCGATCATTGTGCAAGCAGACTTAGTAAACAAGCTCACTATGACTTCGGTCTTCGAGCTTTGAAGAGTGTTTTGGTTAGTTCTGGAGGCTTAAAACGTGCACGTCTGGCCAACTCGGAGGGAGACCTGGGCCCAGATGATGTCATTGAGCCTCAGATCATCGTGCAAAGTCTTCGGGAAACCATTGCTCCCAAATTGATTCGGGAAGACGTGGAGATTATGCTAGATATCCAGATGGAAGATTTCCCCGGTGTTGAATATGTGCCGGCCAACTACGAACAACTCACCCAAGCCATCCGCGATATTGCCAAAGAAAATCACTTCGTTGCTACCGATACATGGATCACCAAGACACTACAACTTTATCAGATCCAGACTATCCATCACGGTGTGATGATGGTTGGACGATCTGGTTCTGGTAAATCTGCCTCGTGGAAAGTCTTGCTTCAAGCCTTGCAACGCGTGGAAGGCGTTGAAGGTGTTTGCCACGTCATTGATTCCAAAGTCATGTCGAAAGAAGCTCTTTATGGTAACCTCGATAGCACGACCCGAGAGTGGACGGATGGTTTGTTCACTGGCATACTGAGAAAGGTTGTGGACAATCTGCGTGGTGAAGACTCGAAACGACACTGGATTGTGTTTGACGGCGATGTCGACCCCGAGTGGGTTGAGAACTTGAACAGTGTGTTGGACGACAACAAACTTTTGACATTGCCCAACGGTGAACGTCTCAACTTGCCACCAAATGTTCGTATCATGTTCGAAGTTGAAACTCTGAAGTATGCTACTTTGGCTACTGTTAGTCGATGTGGTATGGTCTGGTTCAGCGACGATACTGTCACGCCAGAAATGATGATCACGAACTATATTGAGTCACTGAAAACCAAGATCTTCGAAGACTTGGATGACGACTCTGTTCCAGCAGGTCAAGCATCCGCTAAAACTCAGGCTGTTCAGGATATGGTTTCGGATTTCCTCAAACAGTTCATGCAAAGCGATGATCTTATCTACAAGGCCCTCGAAGAGGCTCGCCAATACAACCACATCATGGAGTACACGACTATCCGTGCATTGAATACCTTGTTCAGTCTCCTCAACAAAGCGTGCCGTAATGTGCTCGAGTACAATATTCAGCACATTGATTTCCCTCTGGATCCTGAGCAAGTTGAATCATACATCTCCAAGAAGTTGCTCCTTGCCCTTGTTTGGTCACTGACTGGCGACTGTCCTCTTAACGACCGCAAGCGCTTCGGAGAGTACCTGGCCGCTTCTACAACAATCGACGCTCCTTTGCTTGGCGATTCGGCTTCTCTCATCGACTTTGATGTGTCGTTGCCAAAGGTGGAATGGATCACTTGGCAATCACAGGTACCTTCAGTCGAGATCAACACCCATTCCATCACCCAGACGGATGTCATTATTCCAACATTGGACACTGTGCGTCATGAAGATGTACTATACTCATGGCTCGCTGAGCACAAGCCGCTACTCCTCTGTGGTCCTCCCGGTTCTGGTAAAACAATGACATTGTTCTCTGCCTTGCGAAAGCTACCAAATATGGAAGTTGTTGGTCTCAACTTTTCTAGCGCCACCACTCCGGACCTTTTGATCAAGACTTTCGAGCAGTACTGCGAGTACAAGAAGACATTGAATGGCGTGGTCATGTCTCCAAACCAAATTGGACGTTGGCTCGTCATTTTCTGTGATGAAATCAATTTGCCTGCTCCTGATCGTTACGGCACACAGCGTGCGATCTCATTCTTGCGTCAACTAGTGGAACAGAACGGTTTCTGGCGCACTTCTGATAAGACATGGGTCACTTTGGACCGTATCCAATTTGTTGGTGCTTGTAACCCTCCAACTGATGCTGGACGTACCCCAATGGGAGAACGTTTCTTGCGCCATGCTCCATTGATGATGGTTGACTACCCTGGTGAGCTCTCATTGACTCAGATCTATGGTACTTTCAACTCGGCAATCTTGAAAATTATTCCCACTTTGCGTGGTTACTCGGAGGCTCTTACAAAAGCAATGGTTCAATTCTATTTGGAGTCACAAGCACGATTTACACCAAAGATTCAACCACATTACGTTTATTCCCCTCGTGAACTTACAAGATGGGTGCGTGGTGTCTACGAGGCTATCAAGCCATTGGAGAATCTTTCCGTTGAAGGTCTCGTCCGAATCTGGGCACACGAGGCTCTTCGTCTATTCCAAGATCGGCTCGTTGCCGAAGATGAACGTAAATGGACAGACGAGACTGTACGGCGCATTGCTTTGGAACATTTTCCGACTATTGATGAGGAACAAGCATTGAAGGGACCTATCCTCTTCTCCAACTGGTTGTCGAAGAACTACGTTCCAGTTGAGCAAGAGCAATTGAGAGAATTTGTCAAGGCTCGGCTCAAGACGTTCTGCGAGGAGGAGGTGGATGTTCCATTGGTTCTTTTCAACGATGTTCTTGAACATGCTCTGCGTATTGATCGTGTCTTCCGACAGCCACAGGGTCATTTGATTCTCATCGGTGTTAGCGGAAGTGGAAAAACCACGCTTTCCCGGTTCGTTGCTTGGATGAACGGCCTGAAGATATTTCAAATCAAGGTTCATGGCAAGTATTCTTCAGAAGACTTTGACGAGGATCTCAGGACTGTCCTTCGACGAGCTGGATGCAAGGGCGAGAAGATCTGTTTCATCATGGACGAATCAAACGTGCTGGACTCTGGTTTCCTGGAGCGAATGAACACCCTACTCGCCAATGCCGAGGTACCTGGTCTGTTTGAAGGTGATGAGTTTGCATCTTTGATGACAGCCTGTAAAGAAGGCGCACAACGCCAGGGGCTCCTCCTCGACTCTCAGGAAGAGCTTTACAAGTGGTTTACACAGCAGATTGTCAAGAATCTTCACGTTGTGTTTACGATGAATCCTCCCGAGGACGGATTGTCATCCAAGGCCGCAACCAGTCCTGCTTTGTTCAATCGTTGTGTGCTCAACTGGATGGGTGATTGGTCTGATCAGGCTCTTTTCCAGGTTGGTTCGGAACTTACACAGTCTGTTGATCTCGACAAACCCAATTTCACTGCTCCCGACAGTATTCCTGTAGCTTATCGCGACCTGAACCTTCCGGCTTCTCATCGTGAGACTGTTATTAATTCGATGGTCTATATTCATTACTCTCTGCAAAAGTTCAACCAGCGTCTACAGAAACAACAGGGTAGAACGACATACCTCACGCCACGACACTACCTTGACTTTGTCGCTCAATACGTTAAGCTATTCAATGAAAAGCGAGAGGATCTGGAAGAGCAGCAACGACATCTGAACGTCGGTCTGGAGAAACTCAGAGATACTGTCGACAAGGTTCGAGACCTTCGTGTCAGCCTTGCAGAAAAGAAAACACAGTTGGAGGCGAAAGATGCAGAGGCCAATGAGAAGTTGCAGCGAATGGTTGCCGACCAGCGAGAAGCTGAACAGAGAAAGGCGGCATCGCTCGAAATCCAGGTTGCTCTGGAGAGACAAGAAAAGGAAGTCGCCGAGCGTAAGGATGTTGTGTTGAACGATTTGGCCAGAGCCGAGCCTGCGGTTCTTGAGGCCCAAAAGAGTGTCAGTAGCATCAAGCGTCAACATCTTACTGAAGTCCGTTCTATGGGTAACCCTCCGGCAAGCGTGCGTCTAGCTCTAGAGGCTGTTTGTACCTTGCTTGGTCATAAAGTCGACAGCTGGAAAACCATCCAGGGTATTATTCGTAAAGATGATTTCATTGCCAGCATCGTCAACTACGATAATGAACGCCAGATGACGCGCAATCACAGGGTGAAAATGAAGAACGAGTTTTTGTCCAAGGATGACTTCACCTACGAGCGGGTCAACCACGCCAGTAAAGCTTGTGGTCCTCTTGTACAATGGGTCGAAGCACAAGTGAACTATTCCGAGATCCTGGACCGTGTTGGTCCTCTCCGTGAAGAGGTGGACCAACTTGAGGAGCAAGCACTTCAGACCAAGGCAGAAGCCCAGGCTATCGAGAACACTATAAAGAGTCTGGAAAGTAGTATCGCCACATACAAGACAGAATATGCTGCCCTCATCAGCGAAACACAAGCTATCAAGACCGAAATGGGACGTGTGCAATTCAAAGTCGACCGAAGTGTACGACTTTTGGACAGCTTGGCTTCGGAGCGAGAGCGATGGGAAGAAGGAAGCAAATCATTCGAGACTCAAATCAGCACGCTTGTCGGTGATGTGCTTATTGCTGCCGCTTTCCTTGCGTATGCTGGTCTGTATGATCAACAATTCCGTAAAGCGATGGTGGAAGATTGGGTCAATCAATTAGCGCAGTCGGGGATTACGTTCAAACCTCATAATCCTGTCACTGAGTACCTTTCTAACGCGGACGAGCGTTTGGCATGGCAGAGCAACTCGTTGCCTGTTGATGATCTATGCACTGAGAACGCTATCATATTGAAACGCTTCAACCGTTATCCTTTGATCATCGACCCCTCAGGCCGTATCACGGAGTTCCTACAGAAAGAGAGTAAAGAAAGGAAGCTTACAGTCACCAGTTTCTTGGACGATTCATTTGTCAAACAACTCGAGAGTGCTTTACGTTTTGGAAATCCAATTCTTATCCAGGACGCAGAGCATCTCGACCCTATTCTCAACCATGTTCTCAACAAGGAGTATCAAAAGACTGGGGGACGTGTTTTGATCCAATTAGGCAAGCAGGAGATTGATTTCTCGCCTTCGTTCAAGCTATTCTTGTCTACTCGGGATCCCTCTGCTACCTTCCCACCTGATATCTGTAGTCGTACCACATTTGTCAACTTCACGGTCACTCAAAGCAGTTTGCAAACACAGTCACTCAACGACGTCTTGAAAGTGGAACGTCCGGACGTGGACGAGCGACGCACAAATCTCATCAAGTTGCAAGGAGAGTTCAAGATCCATCTACGCCAGCTGGAGAAACGTCTGCTGCAGGCCCTCAACGAGTCGAGAGGTAATATTCTGGATGATGACAACGTCATCGAGACATTAGAAACTCTCAAGAAGGAGGCCGCGGAAATTACCAAGAAGATGGCAGAGACAGAAGGTGTCATGACAGAGGTCGACAACATCACACTTCAGTACAATATCATTGCTCGATCGTGCAGTGCTGTGTTTGCCGTCCTGGAGCAGCTCCATCATATCAACCATTTCTACCAGTTCTCGCTGCAGTATTTCGTCGATATTTTCAATTCGGTCCTGCATGGAAACAAGAAACTTATGAACGAGAAGGATCATGCTGCAAGAGTCCAAATCATTCTTCGAGACCTGTTCGTTACGGCTTACCAGCGTACCAGTCTGGGAATGCTACAAAAGGACCGTATTACGTTGGCTATCCTTCTCGCTCAGGCTACTCCTTTCACCATGGATAGAAGTATCATCGACACCATCCTCGATGAAAGCGTGGATGGGGTGGACTTGTCAACCGCTGCAGATCTCCGCGAACAGACGATGAGCAAGATTTCTAATATGTCCTTGTTCAAATCCTACGTTCCTAATATCCCCGAAGAAGCTTGGACTGCTTTCTTTACGGAGGAACTGGCAGAAAACTTTGTGCCTACAGTATGGGATGAGAATACGGAGTCATTGGATCAGCAGCTACGTTCTCTCTTACTCGTCAAGCTGTGTCGCATGGATCGATTCGTACCCGTTGCTGAACGTTTTGTCGTAGCAGTCTTTGGTCGTGAGTTGTACGAAAACAGCGGCGACCTCAAGGAAGTTGTCGAACAGGTCACGGCGACTACACCAGTGGCACTCAGCTCTAGCCCCGGTTTTGATGCTAGTTACAAGGTCGACGGATTGGTGGAGCGAATGCATGCAGCTTGCACGAATATTGCCATGGGTTCAAATGAAGGTCTTGAAAGCGCTGACAAAGCTATCAGCAACGCTGCCTCTGCGGGTACTTGGGTATTGGTGAAGAACGTACATCTCGCTCCATCCTGGTTACAGAGTCTGGAGAAACGGTTGGACTCTCTCAAGCCGCATAAGGATTTCCGCCTTTTCTTGTCGATGGAGACTAGTCCCAAAATTCCAGTCAACCTTCTCCGTGCATCGCGTGTTCTCATGTTCGAACAGCCGGCAGGTGTACGCGCCAATATGAAAGATTCGCTTTCTTCCCTGTCGCTACGCGCTACAAAGGCTCCTGTGGAGAAAGCACGTGTTTATTTGTTGCTCTCGTTCTTACACGCTGTGGTGCAAGAGCGTCTACGCTACGCGCCCAGTCTTGGTTGGAAGGGTTTCTGGGAATTCAATGATAGCGATGTAAGAGTTTTCCGTCTCGAGGATAAAGTTCACAACTAACAAAACTTGCAGTATGAATGCTCTGCATTTATTATCGACTCCTGGATAGATTCAGTGGCGCAAGGACGTTCTAACGTCGCACCTCAAAAACTGCCCTGGGATATGATCCGCACCTTGATTACGGAGACATACGGCGGCAAAATCGACGATAGCGGCGATTTCATGCAATTGGAGAAGCTAGTCAACAGTTTCCTGACCCCCGCAGCATTCGAAGAAGACCACAAATTAGTTTCTGGCGTTGAAAATGACGAATGCTTAGCGCTGCCTGGCACAACCAGCATGCGCGACTTTACCGAATGGGTTAACCGTCTGCCGGAGCGGGAGCCGCCCACGTACTTGGGCCTGCCAGCTAATGCAGAGAAGCTGCTTTTGGTTGGACATGGTAAGGCGATGATCTCGGATCTTTCGCGCGTGACGACGTTGTTGGATGAGGGTGAGCAGTTGATGGTTGAAGCATAACTTTTTGTATATTTTTCTTTTTTATATGTGTTTTTTTCCTTGTGTATATTTTGGTTTAGTGATACCTACCAATACTGTTGTTAATTCTTTCCTTAAGTAGGCTTGTGTGACAGCCGATCACCCTTGTAGCCTTAAGACTCGTAATGACTGTCGGGATGCCCTAATTTAGCCGTGTTATAGGTGCTGCAGTCTTATCGCGCACTCATGGAACTGCATGAAACCACCAATCAATGCGGCGTAGCGCCTTGAAACAGCACCAGTATCAAACAGATTATCTCGAGCAGATTCAAACATCTGGGGTTTACTCCAGTCGAAAGTCAGGCAATCGAGATTCTCGGTATTCGCTAAGGACGTCGACCTCGGCGGATTCTTTCTTTCTACAGCAGACCTTCCAATGAAAGTAAAGCAGCCAGAAAGTTGGAAGATAGCGCAAGCTTTCCTTATCATGTCATACCTCCTAGTTCATCGTTTAGCAATTTCTCGGCGGGGTAATTGACTCGTCGGCCTCTGCTCTAGACGCAAGGTTGGCTTGAGATACCGTGCTTGATGAGTGTCAGACGAAGAGAATTGGCTGGCGATAAGGGCAATGATCCAATCAGTCGTCTCTATGTATGGAGAGGGTATGGGTAGACCACGTGAGTACGTCCATTGTTTCTCGAGGAAGGAGAGAGATAACGACGTCTTGTTCTCCCTTCGTCTTTTCTTCTTCCATCCCCATCCTTTCTTTTCATCAATCATCCCATCACCGTTCTCCACGCATCACTTGCCGCGCACCACTTCGTCGTTCCGTTGCTTTTTCCGATATTTCTTGGCTGTTTGACTCCGTGTTACGCGTGTTCGTGCAGTCGTTGGGTGGGACATGCTGAGAGTCATCGTGGGGCTGACGACCTACACGCCATTATTTTTCGAAGGCTCAGATCGATGATTATTGTCTGACCCCGCGACTTACGTCGTCTTACATTGATTGACTGAGCGGTTCGTGAGGGCACCGACAAGTGGGCTCTCTTACAGGCATTGGGAGATCGTCTCTAGCGCTAGAGAGCCACTAACAGAGCCACTAAACCGCCTAAAGCGACCTCAAACATCCCAAACCTCGAAACCCCAAACACACTGTGCGACTCTTGCAACAGACACGGCAATCTTCCCCACTGGGCGGTTGTCACACTGTCTGCTGCTGGATGTGATTCGTCCTGCTGTGCCATAATTGCGTATGGTACTACGACAGACCCCGGCGTATGCTCTCGCTTGTATCAGGGTTGTTTTTTTTTCCCTCTCCATGGATCATCAAACATTCTAATAATGCCACCACAAAATCTGAGTCTGACCATAAATATCCCTCGAGGTATGTTTCAGGCTATTTTATAATCTGCTCATCTTCTTCTTCTATTTACCTTCATTATTTACTCCTTTTGCCATTTGGTCTTATACCTGTGGTCAATGTCTTTTCTTCCACTTTCATTCTCATAGTCTTGAAAATTTTCCTGTTTGATCATGGCGTTTATCGGCTCAATGAAATCTTCTCTACACAGTCCGGTTACTGTTTTTAGAGGTCTCGATTGTAAGTTACTCTGGTTAGCCACTGTAAAATGCTCCTATCACTTGTCTGCTGCTGCTCGGTGCTATTTTTGCAATTGGTCTTGCGGTGTTGAAATTCTCTAACATAATCGATAGCATTTCTATCTTCTCTACGCGCAAATCTACAAATCTCCTATGAGGACCTCAATGCCTCCCACCTAGAGGCTTTTCACTACCCTCCAGAAAACTACGACCTTCGCATTTCACCATACTCTAATGAGTCAACACTCTCTTCCGGGTTCGGGGATGATCTTGAAGATCCGCCATCTCCAACAGACACATCGACCACCTCTACTACTCATTCCTTTCCAGCACCTACAACATGGACCTATCATGCCTCGACGGAGGATGACCGTCGGGCTGCCCTGAAATTGATTGCCGAGAGCATTCGCGAGCAACGCAGTCTTGCTATACGCAGCATTCTGCTGCATCCTGCCGTTCTGACAGTCACTTTCCTTTTGTTCACCGTACTAATACGCTGTGTGTTGCATGCACCCCAAAAGAGGGCTCCGGTGGCATGCTGTATCGGAGCTGGTATTCTGATAATAGCATTACTAGCCGCCGAGCGTGCAACCAGAAAGTATGTAACTCTCGCATCCACAGTAGGGGACTCAACCTGGTTGCGAGAGGGACTATACCAACAACAGCAACAACCACCACAACAACAACAACAACGTAATAATCATAATAATGGAACCGCTGGCGGGTCCAAACATCACCATTCCCATTCCCATTCCCATCACAATTCAATGCCTCTTGAAGACGAAATCCTTGTCACCAAAGACCACGACGAAGTCGTCGGTGCCCTTGTCCTCCGCACCGCGCGTACAAATGCGCTCTCCTCCGGCGCACCCAGTGCCAATGGCATGCGGGCCCTCCGTCACCGACACAGCAACAGCTCAACATCAGGCCGCTTGACGGGCGTCATTCGCGCATGGACAGTGAAATCAACCCATCGACAGCGCGGACTGGGGTTAAGTCTCCTCGAATCAGCAGTTTCCATTTGTCGGGTGCGAAGATTGGACGGTCCGATCTTTGCCGATGAGCAATTGCACAGTGCGCATATACCCGGATTACGAACATTGTGCTGGCCTTTCAATGCCGGCTTTGAGAAAGTGGAGGAACAGGCCAAGGATTGTTTGAAGGGGGTGATTGAGGGGAAGGAGAGATGGAGGAAGTGAGCTCTTCGATTTGCCTTCTACTTGCACATCTATTGACGTGTCTTATGATTTAATGATTTATTTTGTTTTTAACATCGTGTCTGCTTGATGTACGACATACATATACCCCACCGTTAGATACTTTTTACACATGTATTGTTGAGTTAGTTTTGGAATAGATTAAGATCTCAACCAGAAGCTTTCCAGCCTTGAAATTACTACAGCATATAGTATATACTCTTTAAAGAGAGAGAAAACGAAATGTAACCTCCAACAAAACATTCAAAAGCGAACAACACGACAAAAGAGCCGTCCACCTGTACTCCAATACCAACTTCCTTTTCGTATTGGAAAAATATCATCACTCCTAATTCGGGTGGAAACCATACACGGGGGTGCCCATCTATTCAACTCATGAGCGTCGAATAAGGATCATTAAGGGGGGAAAGAATAGACTTACTCTATTCAACACAAAAACCACCTGATCATAACAAGCCAAGAAGAAAGCGCAATTGTTAGTCACGTTCCGAACAGTCTGTCCTCTTCGGCTAAAGAGGTGTAGTATAATCATTCCCAAGGAGTCGACATACATCAGTCGTTGTGATAGTCTGTGGATGGTGATAGTAGTTAGCGTCATGAATGAGACTAGTCGAGTTGAGGAACTTACCTTTCGCTCATGATTCGGAGTTGCAGAGGACTCAAGCACCAAGACCAAGTTACGTATGATCTGATTTGATAGATTAGTATTCTCATCCAGCTTTCTTTGGCATGTCTCTTCCTCATCCTAAGTAGGTATGCGTACCGTTTTCAGTCGTTCTTTGAGCACGAACCGTATCTCCGGATAAATGCTCGCGGACATTCTCTTGATCCCACCACGCCTAGTGAGACGACTATTCGAATGTGAGTGATGTTTGTAAAAAGAGTATGAGAATCATATCACGAACCGGATGGCATGTCTTGCTGTACAAGATGATAGTTAGACGTTAGTATTGTCAGGGAATCTAGATGAAGGGGATGGGTGTAGACTTACTGATACCCTGGAGGACATCACGATTCGAACGACGACTGGACGAGCTGGTTAATCATTTCGCTCATACCTAGGTAGTCTTGAAGCAAAGGAGAGGTCCTGGTTGGTATGGTTAGGGAACATACCGTCTGCTCCCATGGAGTCCTAAGCCGCGATGTTGTTGTGGCATATTTGAGTTTTTCTCGAAGCTTTGATGGGGACAATTCTGTTGCAAAAAGGAGCCTCGGGATGTGTCCAGGTTGAGATCAGGTTGAGATGAGGTTGAGAGAACACTGAGGGAGGGAGGGAGG